TACCCAAACTTCTCAATTCGCTGATGACGGAGCAATATGAGTAAAGCACAGAGATATTTCACAAATCCAAACAAAAACTCCAGTAAGTCCTGGACGGAGTAGATCAATGGTGCAATGACTGGGGTTAAACCCTTTTAAGTGAAAACAAACTGGGGGAGTTCTATTCAAATGCAGGGGGAAAGCGTGTTTAGATTCATTTCAAGTTAATTAAACAAAATTACATGAGTCTGATTTGTGATTTGCAAGTTTCGTAACAGGGTGAAAAATTCCAGTATTCTTATCAAGTATCGAGTAGCATTCATAGGACCCGTGAAGATCCGGGGTCTTCAGCAACCCATGCTTGCCGTAAAAGGCGGCTATGCTTGTCGTAAGAGGCGACAAACGGGATCGGGTGGTCAGGCTCGCTGACTTGGTTGATGCAAGTCATCGTATCTCAGTTGCGTGGATCGATGCTCGTGTTGTCAATATCTGGATTGTCTGGTCCAGACTCGATTATTGACAGACCGCCGTCATATAGCTTGAATATTGCTGAGTGCGGCGTTAAACAACAAACAAACAAACAAAACTTCCAAACATCCGCCAATATCAGATACTGTTTGTATGAGAACACTTCCAAACAATCAGTCTTCTTAGACATTCATGTACCGGCAATAAAGTCCATTTTGGGGATTCGCACCACGGACCTTCTGGTCGGAGGTCGAACGCCTTGTCCACATGGCCAAAGAAGCCAGCAAGCTGATGAGGTAGGGATGGTATCCCAAGTGGGAGGACACACGCGCCCTGCCTCACAGGGATATCCCTATCAAACATTGACAAGTATAGAACGACAACAGTGTCATTCCGACATGCAATCAAAGTCACACAGATCGCGTATCGCCATGTCGTGAGGGAGTTGATCGAGATGCAGCTGATATATGACCCACATTTCACGTCTCTGTCTCCCTACATTCATTGTGAAGTTCAGATTACAGGATCAAGTGCATGGACATGACTGTGAATTGTGAGACGCACTCACAAGGACGACGCCTATTAAGGGAACATCTCAAAAGTCCGATGCTGGATATATATCCTTTTCGTTTCGAGATTTACCCCGCAGATTCATAAAACTTACCTTTATTTTTATTCTAATGTGTATGTAAAAATGTGTTGTTATATTTAGAGTTTTTAACTAAGTAATTGGATTTGGTTAACACGGCTTCAAACAATGCTTCATAACATCCCGTATCAGAAGGATGCAGGAACAGACAGCCTCATCAGACGGAAGTCATGGACATTTGAACTCATTGTTTACTGGTACTTTAAAAATACATTTGAGGTCAAACACAATTGAGATGAACCTAGATTAACTCTTTTAATTATCTATATAAAAAACATGCTGTTTTATTCAACACGTCTTTTTATTGGAGGTTAAATTGTTTAACTTAAATGTAAGGCAGTGTTCGTTACCACTGAATGCGTCCCATCCAAGCCATTCCACATCCACATTGTTTTGTCTACAAACCAAACTTGTATGATGTGTTTGAGTGAGTGAGTTGGGTTAAACGCCGCTTTTAACAGTATTAGTTATTTCACGGCGTGGCTGCTTAATGTGGTGCAGGTCTCAGACGTTTACCACTTCGGTGAAACCCACGAGAACGGGATGGTGCTGACAAACCTAAAAACATAATCGTGGCGAACTGGGATTCGAACCCACAATCATAGGTTTCTGGCGAAGGGACGCAACTCTGCACAGCGAATCGCGGCGCCTTAGAAGACACATGGCGATCATCACCGAGGAACGTTGACGTCAAACGCATTATGACGTCACAGCACAGTTGTATCCTGGCCGGTCCCATTCCTCCTGGTGGGTCTCAATTATAGAATGTCACCGCCACAGAATAATCAGCCTCGATGATGCGCCGGAACAGATTCCATTTAACGAGACAAAATAGCGGTGACAATTATACGAATGGGTTAGACATGACACCAGGCATTCGCGAAATAAACCAATGAAGACGAAAGAATCTTCGATGAAACTACATCTGTATAATCTACAGCACCTGGAAGTATCACCGCCCTGTATTTTGTATAATCTACATCACCTGGAAGTATCACTGCCCTGTATTTTGTATAATCTACAGCACCTGGAAGTATCACCGCCCTGTATTTTGTATAATCTACAGCACCTGGACGTATCACTGCCCTGTATTTTGTATAATCTACAGCACCTGGAAGTATCACTGCCCTGTATTCTGTATAATCTACAGCACCTGGACGTATCACCGCCCTGTATTTTGTATATTCTACAGCACCTGGAAGTATCACTGCCCTGTATTCTGTATAATCTACAGCACCTGGGAGTATCACCGCCCTGTATTTTGTATATTCTACAGCACCTGGAAGTATCACCGCCCTGTATTCTGTATAATCTACAGCACCTGGGAGTATCACCGCCCTGTATTTTGTATATTCTACAGCACCTTGACGTATCACTGCCCTGTATTCTGTATATTCTACAGTACCTGGACGTATCACTGCCCTGTATTTTGTATATTCTACAGCACCTGGAAGTATCACTGTCCTGTATTCTGTATAATCTACAGCACCTGGACGTATCACCGCCCTGTATTCTGTATAATCTACAGTACCTTGACGTATCACTGCCCTGTATTCTGTATAATCTACAGCTTCTGGAAGTATCACTGCCCTGTATTCTGTATAATCTACAGCACCTGGAAGTATCACTGCCCTGTATTCTGTATAAGCTACAGCACCTGGACGTATCACTGCCCTGTATTCTGTATAATCTACAGCAACTGGACGTATCACTGCCCTGTATTCTGTATAATCTACAGCACCTGGATGTATCACTGCCCTGTATTCTGTATAATCTACAGCACCTGGACGTATCACTGCCCTGTATTCTGTATAATCTACAGCACCTGGGCGTATCACTGCCCTGTATTCTGTATAATCTACAGCACATGGACGTATCACTGCCCTGTATTCTGTATAATCTACAGTACCTGGACGTATCACTGCCCTGTATTCTGTATAATCTACAGCACCTGGACGTATCACTGCCCTGTATTCTGTATAATCTACAGCACATGGACGTATCACTGCCCTGTATTCTGCATAATCTACAGCACCTGGACGTATTACTGCCCTGTATTCTGTATAATCTACAGTACCTTGATGTATCACGGCCCTGTATTTTGTATATTCTACAGCACCTGGGCGTATTACTGCCCTGTATTCTGTATAATCTACAGCAGCGGGGGTGAGTGAATGAGTCAGTAAATGTAAGTGAGTGTTTGGGTGAGTAAGTGAGTGAGTGTTTTGGTGAGTGGTTGTTTGAGTGGACGGGTTAGTGAGTGGGTAAGAGGGTTTTGGGCTGGGTGGTTGGGTTGTCGAGTGAGTGAGTGAGTAAATAAGTGTAGTTTGTAGTTTGTATGAAGATGCTAACGGTTTGTCAGCACCACATCCGTGCTCGTGCGATTTAACCAAAGTGGTAAACGTTACAGAAGACCTGCATCACCTCGGGCTTTCCTCCCACATCAGGCTGACACGCCTTGACATACCATCTTCCCGAGGAAAGGGAGTTAACTGACTGTAAAAGTCCAGTTTCCACCCTTGCCGAACGAGGCTCGAATGCCGCAGATACATTTTGGCTGGACTAAAAAGTCTATGTATAGTCCAATCAAAATCTCCCGACGAATTAGACATCCGGTTCGTCAACAACGTGGAGTTTCGAGAGTTTCGAGATTTCGATCGACTGCAGAATTTGCAAAGCATGTGTTCCGTCATCTGGGTGTCGACAGATATTTTCCTTATCTTTTCATGTTTTTAATCAAAATGCACAAATGTTTTGATCACTTCGCGATTATCGATCAGATCGTCTTGACAGGGCACTGTCCTTTTTGTTTGAAGCAAATGCAAGTGATGTGAGAGGTGGAATCTGATTGGTCATTAGGAGGGACATAGAAGGGACATAACTCGTAATAGCGCTGGTGGCACTACGATCGAGCCACGAAATTCTAAAGGTGGAAACTGGACTTTTGTTGCCAGTTTACGCCCTTGCCTCGGGAAGATGTTAAAATACTGCGTAAAGCGACGTTAAACGCTCATTCACTCACTCATGACCGTCAATGTGTGATTATGATTGTATCCAAGGCCCGCATCGAAACTGGATTTGACCACGGCGCTATTGTAAACGATTAATGTGTCCGGGTCAAATAGTTTCCAGAGGAAAGAATATTCAGAAGGGAAAATATTCCAGTGTCAGTAAGATACTAGCTGTTGAAATAATACCCTTGGCAAATATTCCCAATAGATTTTTACCTAGGATATTGCTTTCCCTGGACAGAATCTCAAGTAGGGAATAAATATCCTATTACACTTAAATCCCCAGGCGTAAGCCAACGCCCCGAGATCTTAGGGTAGGTTGTTAACCGTATAACACATAGATGTAACAAGCCTTGGTTCACACTAAATAACCTTACCTAACCTATGGGCTAGATATGATATAACAATGGGGTATGTATCACACCATCAGTCGTTGGGCCGACAACCGCCTCCGTGGTCTAGTGGTAGAGCGTCCGCCTGTAGAGCGGAAGGTCCGGGGTTCGATCCCCGGCCGCGTCATACCAAAAGACGTTAAAAGATGGTACTTGTTGTTACCCTGTGTGGCGCTCGGCATTAAGGGGCTAAAACAAGGACTGGTCGGCTCGGAGTCAGTATACTGTGTCTGAGAGGGGTATTCATGTTAAACTGCGGCATGGTATCTCAGTGAGCTAGCACTCTAAATCGGCATCAGTCTGAACTAGTACAATCAGCCACACAAACACACACACGTACATGCACGTCGCTATATAAGTGCAATAATCTTGGACGCGACGTTAAACCCCATTTCACTTCACCGTTGGACCGACAACATGCACGGCTGAACCCTCGCGACGACGTGGTAGCGTCAGTATAAAATATCCACACACAAACTTTTAAACTGAAATAAGTCTTACCCCGACATGGCGTCACATCTCCACACTGCCCTGTTCCTCAACGTGTGATCATTTCCTTGTTTTAATAATACACCGGACATGACAGTCTGAACATGATCGGCACGTCACTTAATCACACAGACTTCAGGGGACGTAACTGCTGTAGGTGTGACTACACTGTTATAAGTCCTCGTGGTCTGCACAGCGTAACATCAGATCAGAAGAAGAGAGTAAGGACAAAAGAAAGGGATTATTTTGATCGTTTATAGAACGCAGTGTTGGCTCAGTGCTGGGCAGTGGTTTATTTTAGGTTTAATGTTTGAACTTGGGTATTGCGGCACGTATTCAGGTTGAGATACGCGCTCGCGGCCGCCCATTGTGTTGCAGTACCGTAGTGGCTGTAATAACACTGACGCTGAGTGAGTGAGTGAGTTGCTTTTAACGCCGCTTTCAACAGTACTCCAGTTATATCACGGCGTGTCAGCTTAATGTGGGAGGAAAGCCCGAAGTGATGCAGGCCTCAGACGTTTACCACTTCGGTGAACCCACGAGCACGGGTATGGTGCTGACACAACTAAAAACATAATCGGGTCGAACCGGGATTCGAACCAACAATCATAGGTTTCTGGCGTGCCCAAGAGACGCAACTCTGCACAGCGAATCGCGGTGCCTTGGACGACTTGGCCACCCTGCACCCTCACTGAGACTGAGTTTTACAAGTATTACAGCAAATATTTAGAATGTGAATCATGTTTAAAAAGTTATTTAATTGCGATCTAGTTTTAGAAATTACTACAGCCTCGAGCCTGCGGACGAATAAGGCGTTTCACAAAGAAATCCGAATATAAACCAGCAACGCTTCAACTACTGACAAACAATGGGGTTCTGTCGGATTGTTTGTTTGTTTGTTTGTTGTTTAACGCCGCACTCAGCAATATTCCAGCTATATGACGGCGGTCTGTAAATAATCGAGTCTGGACCAGACAATCCAGTGATTGATTTCATGAGCATCAATACACGCAACTGGGATCGATGACATGCATCAACCAAGTCACATATAAGTGTGAAGAGTGAGTGAGTATGGTTTTACACCGCTGTTAGCAATATTCCAGCAATATCACGGCGGGGGACACCAGAAATGGTCTTCACACATTTTACCCATGTCGGGATTCGAACCCGGGTCTACGGCGTGATGAGCGAACGCTTTAACCACTAGGCTACCCGACCGCCCCTTAAGTGTGAAGAGAAAATAGATACAAAAAGGGAAATATGTCCGCCCGTTGCATCTGCTTCACATGTTGCCCAGGTTAGGGCAACCTAACCCTAACATTAAGTCTTAGCGGTGTATCACGAAGCTATCCTATATACACAAATATAAGACAGCTGCGCGATAAATCGCAAAGAGCAATGAAGAACGAAGCGTGGTTTATTTCACTATAAAATAGTGTTCTATCATGACGTCTTTTCTGGAGATTGGAACATGCGCACGCAACGTGATGGCGTCGTATGTTTGACGACGTTTTATTTTAGAGGCGAGTGTCTTGTGAGTGGTTCGCCATAGATGTGGCAGGGCATCGCAGATAAACGCGATGGCAAAACGACCGCATCCAAAACCGGTATTGGGAGAAAAGGCATTGGTTATCGACATGAGGATTGTGAGACTATGCGGGACATACCCACAGGTGCATAAAATGGACTTGCCCGACGTTGCCGAAGTCGGATTCTATTGAGGGAATCAATAGCGCCACCCATGGTTTATTCTCCCTGCAGTGTCACACTCGTTATTAATTAAGTGGTATCTTGAATAAAATTTATATAATACATTGCAAACATGAGTCCAGATATACAATGAACACTTCTTATAAACAAATGTGAGGTGAGGTGAAATGGGGTTTAACGCTGCGTCCAAGATTATTACACTTATATAGCGACGTGCATGCACGTGTCTCTGTGTGTGTGGCTGCTTGTAATAATCCAGACTGATGCCGATTTATAGTGCTAGCTCACTGAGATACCATGCCGCAGTTTAACATGAATACCCCACTCAGACACAGTATACTGACTCCGAGCCGACCAGTCCTTGTTTTAAGCCCTTTAATGCCGAGCGCCAGACAGGGCCAGACAGGGTAACAACAAGTACCATTTTTAACTTTTGGTACCTTCCCCTCTCCGGGCGGACGCTCTACCATGGCCATTAGGCCACGGAGGCGGTCAATCAACACATGTAGTGTTATGACAGGACTTACTCTTTGCCGGTCAGGTCCATTCTCACATGGCCACGCGGATGATTTGTAAAATCCTACGATTTGGGGTTCGTGCTCATGGATTTCACCTCTGTGGTACATTTCTGAAACTTGCATCACTTCGGGCTTTCCTCCCACATCAATCTGACACGCCGTGATATAACTGGAATACTGTTCAAAACGGCGTTATAACTGTCCAAGAGCGTACGTTTTGCTCTCGAATGGTACCTCGGGGTCATGACGGAAGACAAAACTCAGGGGTGAAGTTTAAGACGACAGCAGCCATGTTTATTGTTGATGGGTTAAAATAAGTCGAATAATAATAACGTGACAGAACGCGACCCCGGCGAATGTTTCCGGAGCGGAGACCCGCTCTGTCACACAGGCAGGAAGTCGGACGGCGATTCTTCATCGTCGATGTAGTCGTCGGTGAGAAGGCGGCCGCAGCCAACGGCACGACCAGCCCTGCAATCCGTCCGCTTCTGACGATGACCTGGGCCCGTATACCTGGTTGACAAGGTCAGTCAGGTTTTGTAGATAGGTATAAGGTAGTAGTAGTCAGAGCTCCAGACAACGTTTTGAGCAATTGAGTTTTTACTCGAAGGTTTCTATTTTAATTGGGTTATTGCATTTTTCATTGGGTTACCAATATTTTTTCACTTATCTATTCATCATTCTATAAGGTTTTTCCCAAAATGAGTAAACATTTTTAGATTTAAAAGAAATAAAATGTTTTAGATGTATACAACGGTTCTAACTATAGGCTTGACTCGGAAAGTAAATTTGCTTCTAATATTGTTTCGGAAATTAGCTCTGTTGTACGCATGCTGAAAAAGCTCAATTGGGTATTTACGCGTGTTGTTTTTATACATTTGAGTTTTTCATTTAATGCATTCGTTTCTGTACGCAAGTTAATTGAAAATAATTGGGTTTTGAATATTTTTTTTATTTTTGATGGTGGTGGTGGTGGTTGATGGTTGTGTGTGTGTGTGTGTGTGTGGGGGGGGGGGTATTTTACGCAAATACGCAGCTAGCCCTGCAGTAAGTACTACACAATGTTGACTGTGCAGAGTTACGTCCCTTTGGCACGCCAGAAACTTATGATTGTGGGTTCGAATCCCGGTTTGCCCCGATTATGGTTCTAGGTTTGTCAGCACCATTCCCGTGCTCGTGGGTTTCACCGAAGTGGTAAACGTCTGAGACCTGCATCACTTCGAGCTTTCCTCCCACATTAAGCTGACACGCCGCGATATAACTGGAATATTGTTAAAAGCGGCGTTAAACCCAACTCACTCTTTCACTCACTACACAATGTGGGGTCAAGGTCAGTGACCTATGTAAGTGTACATACGTTATATCCAGCGACGTGAGTGGGTGTTAAATGACGTTTGTAGATAGCGCTGGGAAATAAGGGTCCTGTCCGGATGGGGCTTATGATTAGGGGGATACGCCGAATGTTTGCTGTATACATTAAACAGACAAAGGAGATAGAATTTCGGTACACTTTAAAAAAATATTGAAACAATTAGGTTCTTTAGATAATTAAGTTTCATATAAAAGTATTGATATGGTTTGCACTATAACGTTACCAACTGATTATCATATGGATAAAGTTCATGGTAGTATTGATATCTCATATAGATACCACGCGTACTTATATAATAGCACATGCAAAGGTGAGGTGAAATGGGGTCTAACGTTAAACGTCGCGTCCAAGGTTATTGCACTTAAAGCAACGTACATGCACGCGTGTGTGTGTGGATGCTTGTACTAGTCCGGACTGATGCCGGTTTACAGTGCTAGCTCACTGAGATACCAGTTTAACATGGATACCCCACTCAGACACAGTATACTGACAGTCCTTGTTTTAGCCCTTTAATGTCGCCATACAAGGTAACAACAAGTACCACCTTTTAACGTCTTTTGGTATGGATCGAGCCCCGGACCTTTCGCTCTCCGGGCGGACGCTCTACCATTAGTTCACGGAGGCGGTCCACATGCAAACCACACCTAAAGTACATAATTGGCATAGCGCGTGGGCAAGATGTGGATAACATGTGTATAGCACACTGGTGATAAACCAACTCGAAGTGTCCTGGATGACACATACACCAGGGGAAAGGTTGAGCACCGCATGAGATAATGAATTATATTATGTCACCGTTATTGCAGTGGTGATCACGAGAAGACCCGTGAAGATCCGGGATGGAATAGGTCTTCAGCAACCCATGCTTGCCGTAAAAGGCGACTATGCTTGTCGTAAGAGGCGACTAACGGGATCGGGTGGTCAGGCTCGCTGACTTGGTTGATGATGCATGTCATCGTATCTCAATTGTGTGGATTGATGCTTATGATGTCAATCACTGGATTGTCTGGTCCCGACTCGATTATTTACAGACCGCCGTCATATAGCTGGAATATTGCTGAGTGCGGCGTTAAACAACAAACCAACCAACTACATGCGTGGATCAATGGCATGTCATCAATCACTGGCTGTCTGGTCCAGACTCGATTATTTACAGACCGCCGTCACACAGCTGGAATATTGATGAGTGCAACAAACAAACAAACAAACAAAGGTTTCGTCTGGCATGGTGTTTATTACGACGGACTGTTAATCTGAGAACCTGGTGGAAACTCTATTGGTTCCTGCTAATGTCATGGATGGACGACCGAGGGTTTGGAGGCACAGGAATACGGCCTATACACCCAGAGATGGCTAACTGTTCCTGATGGGTTAGTTCTAGGGCTGGGGCGAGTCCAAATTTACTACCCAGGTACCCACCACCCTATTACCCGACCCTACCCGGGTACCCGCTGTAGATATTTAGAGATATGTACAAACTGTCCGATTTGGAAACGTTTGACCGCAGCACTGGCAAAATGTATTT